TATTCTAAGAATATATATTTACATAAGAGATTCTTCGCGCGAACTTCCCTTACAATGGAATTTCCACCCAGCATTTGCAAAAGATGGTGTGAAATTATGATTAGTTATTGACGAGTGGTTATCTTTAAGGAATTTACAATTAAAATTCTCCAGAATTCCGTCAATGTGAGGAAACGTGTTAGGACCTACATAATACCTACTTGGGTAGTATCAGGAGCATTTAGTATATACCAGTTGGAGGATACTAAAATAAGAAGAGTTCTTACTCTCGTATACTTGTCGGATGTGTGAGAAGGCAGCAGTATTATACTTATTATAATTGTCGGAGTCTTTCATTCGGATCAACTGAGCCGATATAAGACGCTTCAACCGAAAGGTTTGAATGCCTATTCTTTGAGAGGCCAAAACAATCCTTGGTGGGAATGGAGTCCTCCTGTGGTAACGCACAGTATTTTTGGACACGATAGTTATGCAGCTTCCTTCCTGAATTTTACGACAGGTGGCTAGTTAATCTTGTTATTTTTCAAGGAGAGACTCGAGATGGTCTGGAAGTCTTCGCCTTGAAGAGTACTCTCTTTTGGAGTTCTTCAGTCCGAAGTCTTTTGCTTGCGCTTCGGATTGTGTTGGACGTTTGATTAGTACCAACAGCAGCTGGGTGCCTTGCCCTTACACGGGAAGGCAAAGTTTTCGAGTTCGCGAGGATTGGCCGATCGGTTTGGCTCCTCTCGGCTTCTTCCTTCGGAGAGCGTTCGGCGCCGCTCTCCGCGCGGTCTTCAACTCGTTTCCAAGTGTTGGACGGGTGCGACTCCCATACTTCTAATATCTCAATAATATGGTTGTTATGAATGTTTGAAGGCATTGAAGTCCTCGTGATGGATCTTCGGCAGTTCATTGCTTTATTCCGGAACGCGCGTTGACGAAGTCTTGTCGACTGTCTCGTCATCTTTTTGTTTCTCATCGAAAAGTGTCCTGATTGATACTCGTTCATCGTGCGTCAAAGAACTGCGCGAGGAATGAGCTCTCCATATCGTCGTTGTTAATACTTCCGGGTTTGAGACAGGCGGTACCAATCAAAGCGGGCCCCGCGAAGAGGTGCCACAGAATGACCGAAACCATCAAGGCTTATTGCGGAGATTCATTACCCAAGTTGGGATACTTGAAGTAGATCAGATGTTGAGTGGGTGAACCCTTCCGTTCAAACGGCGTGAGTATATACAGGGTTGAATTCGCCGGATACATTGATCGAATCCATTTTCTTGGATAGGGAATCGGGAATGCCGGTCCTATTTTACCTCTCGAGCAGATCAAATTTAGAGCGTTTGATTTTTGCTCTCGAGATCTTTCATTTTTCATCATCACGTGTCGGACCTCGGACGATTATGAAAGAGGAATAACATGGCCCACCCCCAGCATGTTTATGTCTTTAGTTGGGCCACCCAGCGTTGTATATTCTTATGGGGCCACCCCAGATTTTGGTCAACGAGGGGTTAGTCATGCATTGGAGGGTTCATCCACATCTGAATCGCTACCTACTTGCAGTTAGCAGCGTTGCGACGGCTGGATCGGCCCTGTTGATTGGAAAGAGATCGAATCTGTCCGTCGTGCTTGTCCCTTTCATCCGCTGCATAGCCATTTTATTTCGAATTTAATTGCGCTTGCTTCTGCCTTCACTAGAGCATCCTAACCATTTTAGTTGCTCATTTCGCGTTTAATCATAACCACTTCGCGGGGATTGCCGCGGGCGCCTAGATTACTCACGTATTGTTAGAAGCGACTGCCCCCCAGAGTTAGCATCGATGTTTCATGCGTCGAGGATAACCCTCTACTGCCATTCTTTTGGTAGTCCTGCGTCTAGTGGTCCCTGATCGCAACCGGGTTAGACCGATGAAGATATAAGCGGGTCAGAGCTAGAAGGGGTCGAATGCGCCTATTCCCTTATAACCATATGTGATGCGTAACCTTGGGGGTTAGTCACTCTGAACGACGAATCGTTTCTATGGAGGCGCGTTTAGATTTACGACTTTCTTTCGTTGGAGATCCTCTGCAAATACGAGATCTTTGCGGAGCCGGTCTTGGGGCAGCTACACGCTGAATAATACTGCCCTTGATAGATTCGCCGCACGCGGCAATGCAGATTTTAGTTCTCGGGTTTCTTTTCCGAGACTTAGTTCATACCCCAGCCCGATTAGTACAACTCATTCGATCAGATGACACGGAGGAACCTATCGTGGTGTTGACATGACTCCCCTGGATATAACGTATCATCGTCCAGATTGAATACGTTTCTTTCCAGGGGATTTGTCGTATTTATTAGCATTCTTAAGAGTCACGTGTTATAGACTTACTTTTGTGAGGCAGATCTCACCAGGCTCTTGGCTTTTGCAGATAAAAACACCCCAGTGCGGTAGAATTGGAGTTTTCCCTTTAACGAGGGCGTGTGCGACCCCGGGCTCGATTGAAATCGTCGGGGATTCAGTCACGCCGACCCAAGCATTCTTTCGATCAGACACTTTAGCCTCGATCTCGTGCAAGGACCCAGGCCCGTATCGACAATCCTCACCTTGAAATGGGACAAGTCCACACTGTCCTGCGTGTCGTCGGAGGTGCGGAACTCACAGGGATCGACGAGAATATGGTGTAGAATCATCTTCTGCCTTGACTCTCGGCGGCAGGGTAGATTTAAGTGACCGACGGGTGAGTGGTCGGATCTCAAGTGACCTAAAAAAGGTGGATTTGGCATAGATTGGCGGTCGATAACCAAGTGACCGCCAAAGTGGAGGCTCGGATTTATACCCGCAAAAAAGTGACCGCGATTTGGGAGGGTCGGATTTGGTGCGACCTGGTAGAT